ATACAGGCAATGAAATCATTCACTGAAATGTAAATGTGATGTAAATGTGCATGTGAACCAGTCTGTTACACTTATTTACCGCACTGTAAAGCAGAAAACTCTTTCTCTGGATTTAAACAAAATGTGAATTCTTCACTTGCACTATCAATTCTTTGAAAATATTTCAATTTTCTGTTAACACTTTACAAAAAGGTTTCATTAGTTCATGCATTTATTACAGTTTTTCTCAGTCGCTTTGGTGCATTTCTCACAACACTATGTACATTTGCACAATAGTTAATGCATTTCTCAAAACAATTAGTCATTTGTGCACATCATAATAGCAGTTTCTCATTCCTTCCAACAAATTGCAGATGCTTTTGGACATACATTACAGTTTTTCTAGTTTGCTTTGACCTGGTTAAAGAAACTAGGTTCCTCTTCATTTTCCTCATCACTATCCCAGCAGAGCAGAGGACCGGTCTTGCAAATGTGTAAACCCTTTCTCATTGGGTTGACACATTTGTCCTACCATTTTTCCAAACATTTAACACAGATGTCATTCAAGCAGTCCAAACTCCATTGTTTTAGTTTTGGTGACCAAACAGAATCCATCTATTCCTAACTATTAAAAGCTACCAACATCAGTATGAAATCACTGAAGCACCGGTTTGACACTCCTTCACACAAATCTTCAATTAGCCATCATTCTGCAAACCTTATAAAAACGATGGAAGGTCTGTGTTGTTCTGTGCCAGCATTGATGGAGGAGGTCAATATGGCTATGTCCTATACTCCCAATAGATTTGACTGTATATTAGTTTACATGTGTTTTCTCTAATATTTACAGTATTTTATCACTTTTGTCTGTTTTTTTTATATACAGTATTTTAGTTTTCAGCCACAGTTTGAAAAATGTCATGAATTCAATATATATTCAATCAAAGCACATCTTATTCTTGATCCAATTCTTTGCAAAAAGGCGAATTTGACAGCCCAAATAGAGACAACAAATGCCATTGGCTATAAACTACAATGGCAAGCGATGGTGGTGCATTTTGAGTTCTGTATTTTGTATTTTGTTGTGCATTGTGTAATGATTAATTGAAAGAGCTCATATACTTGTTTGCAAGTTGTGTTGTTTGAAGGTAAAACTAGCTTTTGTTGCATATGTTAAATGTTTTGACACGATATGTGCCTTTTGCAAGCAAAATGTGTCATTTTGACCATGAGTGCCGCAGTTTAGGCCTGTGTGTTAACTGTTTTGAAAATGTGGAGTTTCAGTTGACAACTGCATCCAAGCAATCGAGAAAAACTGTAATTGCTTTCATACAAGTCTCTGCTATTTATAACATTATCAGTTGCTTATGTCATGTCAGTCAAAATGAACTAAACTTGTGAATGCTGAATAGTCATTCCATATAAAACTAATAGTCCTCATTTCATTACTTGAGTCATTACATACAAAAATGATGAACTAGTTGTCAAAATCTGTCTAGCAAATTTTATTTTAAAAAAATTTAATCATTATTTTTCTAAAAATGTCTTAAAAATTAAGAATTTCATGAATGATTTACAGACCTGTGTATGTTGTGGGCTCTGTTCCAATATGTTCTGCAATATTGTGTACAGTTGTGCCCAGTTCAACCCAAAGAAAGATTATGTTTTTTGTAAATAAGGATGTATGTATTATTTTGGACAATGCTGTGAATAAATAAAAATTGCAAAGAGCAAATGCAGTAAAAATGTGAAACATACATATTCAGTGTCTTGTACTCAGATACCTCACTAAATGCAGTGATGTCTAACTTTACTGTAGTTTTCAAATGGCTGTGCAAATAGTATATAGCGCTGTCTTGAGCATTTTCAGGACGTGTCATCAAAATCTGACTTTTTAGCATTGAAAAAACTTACAGAGTAAAATGTCATAATAAAACATGACTAAGCCATTTGACTATCTTGTTCATAAACAATGGTGTCAGGACTTTTCATTTTGATGATACTGAAACTTTGATTGACATGAATACTTGCTTTTGAGGAATGAGCTCTCCATTTTGAGCATGTGACGCACTTTTGCAGGTTGTCAGCTAGGTTTTGCAGTTTGTTTTAAGAAATGCATTAACTGTTGTGCAGAAATGCACTGGTGTTGTGAGAAACGCACCAAAGCGACTGAGAAAAACTGTAAGTGACATGAGCTTAATAATGAGTGATACTTGTACAGCATTTAATAATCAAATTTCAACATTTAATAATGCATCATTAAAAAAAAATCATGCTTGCTAATATTCAAGGGTCAACTTTTTATGACCCGTTTAGGACCATTATGAATGAATTTTAAACTTATACAGGGATGAACACTAAGGATTTTTTCGAATGGTCTCGTTACTTCGGTAAACAGTTTTTGTATTAATGGAAGATCATGTAAAGGGATGTGTTGCTTTAGTTTTCTTTCTCTGATTAGGGAATTTGGTACGGATAATTTGCTGTAAAAATATCTAACAGTTGTTGCGAAAAATGTTTT